TAGAATATACAAGACAGAGGTGTACTGTGGTGTAAGTAATAAGACGAAGAATATACAAGACAGAGGTGTACTCTGGTGTAAGTAATAAGTAGAATATACAAACAGAGGTGTACTGTGGTGTAAGTAATGAGACGTAGAATATACAAGACAGAGGTGTACTGTGGTGTAAGTAATTTGGGTAGAATATACAAGACAGAGGTGTACTGTGGTGTAAGTTATAAGACGTAGAATGTACAAGACAGAGGTGTACTCTGGTGTGAGTAATTAGACGTAGAATATACAAGACAGAGGTGTACTGTTGTGTAAGTAATTTGGGTAGAATATACAAGACAGAGGTGTACTGTGGTGTAAGTTATTAGACGTAGAATATACAAGACAGAGGTGTACTCTGGTGTGAGTAATAAGACGAAGAATATACAAGACAGAGGTGTACTCTGGTGTTAGTAATAAGACGAAGAATATACAAGACAGAGGTGTACTGTGGTGTAGGTAATAAGACGTAGAATATACAAGACAGAGGTGTACTGTGGTGTAAGTAATAAGACGAAGAATATACAAGACAGAGGTGTACTGTGGTGTAAGTAATAAGACGTAAAATATACAAGACAGAGGTGTACTGTCGTGTAAGTAATTGGAGTAGAATATACAAGACAGAGGTGTACTGTGATGTAAGTAATAAGCCGTAGAATATACAAGACAGAGGTGTACTGTGGTGTAAGTAATGAGACGTAGAATATACAAGACAGAGGTGTACTGTGGTGTAAGTAATAAGTAGAATATACAAGACAGAGGTGTACTCTGGTGTAAGTAATGAGACGTAGAATATACAAGACAGAGGTGTTCTGTGGTGTAAGTAATAAGACGTAGAATATACAAGACAGAGGTGTACTGTGGTGTCAGTAATAAGACGAAGAATATACAAGACAGAGGTGTACTCTGCTGTAAGTAATAAGACGTAGAATATACAAGACAGAGGTGTACTGTGGTGTAAGTAATAAGACGTAGAATATACAAGACAGAGGTGTTCTGTGGTGTAAGTTATAAGACGTAGAATATACAAGACAGAGGTGTACTGTGGTGTAAGTAATGAGACGTAGAATATACAAGACAGAGGTGTACTGTGGTGTAAGTAATAAGTAGAATATACAAGACAGAGGTGTACTCTGGTGTAAGTAATGAGACGTAGAATATACAAGACAGAGGTGTTCTGTGGTGTAAGTAATAAGACGTAGAATATACAAGACAGAGGTGTACTGTGGTGTCAGTAATAAGACGAAGAATATACAAGACAGAGGTGTACTCTGCTGTAAGTAATAAGACGTAGAATATACAAGACAGAGGTGTACTGTGGTGTAAGTAATAAGACGTAGAATATACAAGACAGAGGTGTTCTGTGGTGTAAGTTATAAGACGTAGAATATACAAGACAGAGGTGTACTGTAGTGTAAGTAATAAGACATAGAATATACGGTAAGACTTCTGCCCATATCCTCTCTCAAAAATATGTATAATTAAAAGGTTTGGGCGTCAATGCATACATATATAACTATTGGAGATGGAATTCGGGTGGAAGTCTTTCCTTTGTTTAAATGTCTTCCCTTGCAATCTGGCTTACATTCATTGTTAACCCTCCTATGAGGAGATACTCATACTTCTATACTTCTAAATTGATATTTGGTGTTTCAAACGCCTAATGTTCTAAGACCGAATACAAGAAATGAAAGTTTTTATTATGGATGACAGAAATCGAACCTGTAACTATGGAATACTACAAGGAACATTGTCGCGTTGTCGCATTGTCGCGCTGGTATAGATTACTGCATATTTTAATATTTTAACAAAGCGCGACAACGCAACAATGCGACAAACGGCAAAATGTCGCGTTGTCGCAATGTCGCGCTTTGGTTAATTTTGAGACTTTTCGCTTGTCCAATTTTACATGCCATGAATCCAGGTGGTCCACGCTGCACGCTTTGATCGAATTCCTTTTAAACCACGACACTTTTTTGTATTGTTTGACTATTATGTCGCGGATTCTTGCCGACATTATAATCAAGTGGACTGAGGCCGTGAAGATGGTTTAAAACGGTTTATTCTCTGTAAAAGATATAAATGGAATCAATATCAATTGATGTTCAGTCGAGGGAGCAAGAAGATCTTCCCTCGGCAGTGGTGTGACAAAAAGTGGCATTTGAAAGTGTCCAAGTCACACCCCAGGTATCTGCGCGAGATACTGCTGGTAAGACAGCCAGCAAGAAGTGTGAGAGATGAAGCCAAAGTAATTTTAAGGAAACAGGGATAACTCGTGTAATATTAAAATAACTTTAATAAGGCGCCATTAGGTATCTGTATGATTTCTTATCATTTATGTGGTGAGTCGCTTTACAAGTTAGACAAACCACTTCTCGGGATTACTCGAGATTGTACGGCACCCTCGATACGTTCCCTCCAGTCAGGGTTTACAATCTCGAGTAATCCCTGGGAGATTGGGAGAAGTGGTTTCTCCTTTATATAAACTGTCTGCCTGTTATACAAGCTCCAGCCGCACCCCCTTCAAGGGTTTCATTATTTCGAGCAAGAGCATCATCACACCCTTTTTGAAGTAGATATAAAGGGACATAAATACCACTAGCGGTGCTGTTGCCATGCTTATCGTGGAGCCACCGGGCTGTAACATATATACTGTAAGGCAAAGAGTAGCGTGGCCATGTCAGTGTTTGAAATAGACAACAGCCCGTAGGCCCGAGGCCGACAGATTTGTTTTCGGGCTTTTATATTCAGTATGTCCTTATTGCAGTTTATTGTAAGCTATAAACATGGTAAGTAAATCCTAGCACTGAGATTACTTCGTGAAACTTGGTGAAACAAAATAACCTGGGACACCTGCTTCGACAACGGGTCCATATGGGACATGTCAAAGAACAAAATAAAGACGTTTCAAGCAAATTGCAAATTAATTGAATAAAGTCATAAATAAAATCAACAAACATATTTCTAAAAATTATCAAACTTACATCTAAGGTAAATACTAGTTCCATCTTTTCGTGCGACCGTGTAATGTAAGTCGAACTGACATCTCGGCATTTGTCGCCTAAAGTGCTAGGCTCGGACACGATGCTTAATACCAAAATATATGCATGAATTTTTTTTTGTGACATGTCGTAAACTAGCACGATGTCCACAAAGTTCCATATTTTAAATAAAGGTCGCGATTTCCTGCTTAAAACGTTCACAATAACACAATTCAACCAAAGACTTTCGTCTTAATCTGCAATATTTCATACGGTCTCCATTGATGTAATTTTATTGGCTGCCTTAAGTCATGTGCCTGATTTTGAATATTCTTATATTAGATTATGGCAATAGCATCATTAGAATTTTCTATCCAATAAAATCGCATGTTACAACTGCGAAAATACTATTGGCGATGTTACTGTAATATTAGTGTTGACCAGAGATTTCTAACTATACCAAACATCGAACGAATCTTTGCACGTGTAATTTATGCAAAGTTTCCAACACGGAGTTTTTTCTCGGTATTTTCTCATGTCACCGAACGGAAAACCACCATTATCCGGAAATATGTGATGATAGACCGTACTTAAAATTCTTTTTATAATCATTTTCCGATTACTTTAACGATGGATATTAAACAGAACAAGCTGGTGGATAGCTCTATTATGGAATCTTGATATTGCCGAAAATCGCCCTAATTTTCACGGCCTTGGTGATTAATCTGGACGTTATGAATGTGTTAGCTTAAATTTTTATCAAAAGGGAACTTAATTATTATACTTAGTTATTAATGCTTTATTTAAATAATGTGATTAACACAACTTTCATATTTATAAACAGTAGGATTAGACCTTTCAAATGGTGTATGACATGTAGTAGAAAATATGTTTTACCAGCTGATAATTTCCTTGATAAATGTAGGCTTCATCTATCACCACATAGGGGGCACGGGTGGCCCAGTCGTCTAAGGCGCCGCTTTTCCCTGTGCAGAGTTGCGTCCCTTGGGCACGCCAGAAACCTATGATTGTTGGTTCTAATCCCGGTTCGCCCCGATTATTTTTCTAGATAAGTCAGCATCATACCCGTCCTCGTGGGTTTCACCGAACTGGTAAACGTCTGAGACCTGCATCACTTCGGGCTTTCCTCCCGCATTAAGCTGATGCCATGATATAATTGTAATGCTGTTAAAAGCGGCGTTAAACCCAACTCACTCACTATCACCACATAGTTTCTGGGAACTCGGTCTGATAGCAGTAAAAGCTTCTGGTTGACTGGTTGTGTTTCGTAATTAATAATGCAAGAGTGTGTCTCCTTGCTTCAGCTAAATGTTTGTGTCTACAGTTTTTCCATTGGGCCTACAGTTCTTTTTTAAATATGCTGGCCATTAAGGCTCTCAGTTTACTCTGCTAACTTACCAACACTGCATGTTATTGTGTGCCATGTCGTGCTATTTCAGAAACTCAAACCTTCTTTCCACGTGAAAAGAAGTAACGTGTGCTCCAACTGGTAGGACTGATGATGAAGATGGAGTGCTGGACTGGCGAACGTTATAAAATAATTACCATCTCGGCAAATACATTTCACAGTCAGTTTCTGCCTGGCAGTTTGTGTTCCCTCTAGTTCAGGTTAAATGTGTGGATGTTTTTGTTTACATGAGAGATATAAAGCTGTTTGAAAGGGAAGAACAATTTGAGGTGTGATTTCTTTTAAACATTAAAACCAGTCACCCTGATTTGTTGTCATGATATGTCTGCTGTGCACACAGTTGGAGGATTGATGTATCTGTAATCTGGTCCATTATTCAAACTCAGTTTCAGGTGCAGTTTTAAATACACGTATAAGGTCGCAGTAGACGTTCAGTACATATGGGAAGCCACAGTCCAGACGGAAGCCACAGGTAGCCGGTCATTTAGGGCGGGTATCCCACGTGCTGCTTTGTTGACACAGTGACGTGTGTTTATCCAACCACTGCCCCTGCCTAGCTGTGACGCCGTCTACCCGCTGATAAGCAACCACCGCGGCCCTACCTACCCGAGTCCCATATCTCGCCACCCGACCACCCGAAGCTGACAGCGTCTCTCTCCACTCCTTTCTCCGGACAAGCATCATGACGACGGTGACCTCGGTCGTGGCTGCTGTATTGGTACTGATGACCATCGCCCATGGGACACCTGTCCTGTCGAGGGGTATGTACACTGTGTGAAGGGTCTGACCACCGGTCAAAACATGTGTAATGATATTGAGAAACATCTGCCTAGGGGGGCAATAGGGTCGGAGACGTTGGTATTGTGTGTTAACGGAGTTGTTGTTGTACTATCTATTGCCTCAGCTGTGAAATACAGATTGTCCTCGCGATCAGTCAAGTGGGTTCAACTCTGCTATTGTGTATCTAACCGTTGTACCCATGTGAACGCTCCCCGCCGACGTGCAGTCCTCGACTGTGATATGGGATACCCGGGCTGTGCTACCACCAAAACCCAGCTAGCAACTGGTTATTATTGGGTTATGGATGCGCCTGCTTCTAGTTCTGAAAATGAAGGAAGATTGGAAATGAATATAACCTGTTTCTGCTGACCTTCTTCACACTTGTGGCTCGATACGGTGACGTTTGTCTCACTCTCTACAGATTAATGGTAGGACAAAGATGAACAGGGTGTTGGAGGGTTTGGGGTAAAAACTAAAGACATAAATATACTACCAACAAAAAATAAGGGAACTATTGATTTGAATTTCGCCATCGTTGAGGTGAGCATTTACTATACCACAGCGTTGCATCTAAACGCAACATCAAATCAACAATGAAATTTAACATCATGCATGAACGTGCACACAGAAGCCCAAGTCAGTGCGCCAAGAGGGGAACTCACAATCCGTAATTAAACTGAGCTGAGCACACGCTTAAAGAGTCTCGGAGATAGTTTGTTTATTTGTTGTTTAACGCCGCACTATTCCAGCTATATGACAGCGGTCTGTAAATAATCGAGTCTGGACCAGACAATCCAGTGATTGATGTCATGTGCATCGACCAAGTCAGCGAACCTGACCACCCGATCCCGTTAGTCGTCTCTTACGACAAGTATAGTCGCTCAGAGAAAGCATCTCAATGAACAGATAAAATGGTTAATTGTGGGTTCGATAAAGAGGGGGCGCTACGAGGACGTCAATATTCCCTGTTGCCCGAAAGTTGGCAAATCAAGAAGTGTAATTTCTCGACTGTGGGACAAGTACCGTCAAACGGTAGGGGTTGCAATAAGACAAGGACGTGGTAGGCTTAAAAACGACACCCAGACAGGATCGTCTCATTACATTACAATGCAAAAGATTCTAATCTGCCGCTGTTATCAATAGAGAATTCCGTACGATAACAGGAAGGCGAATTACAATGTTTACCGCTGAAAACCGGCTCTGTGCAGCCGGCCTGAAAGCAAGGCGTCCTGTGATGGGTGTGACTCTAACAGCTTACCATAGGCGGTAAAGATTGGGCTGGGCTGGGCAACACCAGGGACAGACTGTGCGCCAAGGGCGTTTCACACCATATTTACAGACGATTCAAGGTTTTGCCTCCGATTCACAGATGGCAGAACACGTTGTTGGCGACGTAGCGGCGAGCGGCATGCCCGGGCAACAATTCTTGACCATAATCGGTTTTGGGGCCGTAGTGCCATGGTGTAGGGCGGTATCAGACACACAGGCATCGGTAAACATGGTCTTGTCGTTGCTCAATTCGCTAAAATTATCGGCAGAAATTTTGAACTGCAAAATGGCAATGCCAGACCAATAGAGCATGTCCCCAATAAAGCATCTGTGGGATGTCCTCGGGCGAAGAGTGCAAGCAAGAGACCCAGCACCTGCCAACGTGGGTCAGCTTTGGGTAGGTCTTCAGGCGGAACATACCAAGGGCAACCATACGCAATTTAATCAACAGGAAATAGTAATAGAAAGTTAATTTGGTCTTACGGCTGATGAGTCGAGTGCTACCTAGTAACCGAGTAAAAAGGTAAACTAAACTTGGAAACATGTAAAATATACCAGGGTCCCAGGTACGGAATCGTCAGCATTTTACTTGGTGTCGTTATACCCGGTGTCGATACTAATCAACCGGACAGACGGAATATCTCCGCCTATGTGGCAGCGGTTGTGTATTCAGGTCTACAGCACCATCGGACGATAGTGTGGAACTTCATCCACACCGACCGTTTCCACTGTACTCGAAATCCGATCCTGGCACGATGCTGTACCGACTGATCACCCAGTGCACTGTACTCACTGATCACCCAATCCACTGTACCCACTCATCACCCAATCCACTGTACCGACTGATCACCCAGTCCACTGTACCCACTGATCAACCAGTCCACTGTACTCACTGATCACCCAATCCACTGTACCCACTGATCATCCAGTCCACTGTACCGACTGATCACCCAGTCCACTGTACCCACTGATCATCCAGTCCACTGTACCCACTGATCACCCAGTCCACTGTACCGACTGATCACCCAGTCCACTGTACCCACTGATCACCCAGTCCACTGTACACACTGATCACCCAGTCCACTGTACCGACTGATCAACGAGTCCACTGTACCCACTGATCACCCAGTCCACTGTACCCACTGATCACCCAGTCCACTGTACCCACTGATCATCCAGTCCACTGTACCGACTGATCATCCAGTCCACTGTAGCCACTGATCACCCAGTGCATTGTACCGACTGATCACCCAGTCCACTGTACCGACTGATCATCCAGTCCACTGTACCCACTGATCACCCAGTGCACTGTACCCACTCATCACCCAGTCCACTGTACCGACTGATCACCCAGTCCACTGTTCCGACTGATCAACAAGTCCACTGTACCAACTGATCACCCAGTCCACTGTACCCACTGATCAACCAGTCCACTGTACCCACTGATCAACCAGTCCACTGTACCCACTGATCACCCAGTCCACTGTACCCACTGATCATCCAGTCCACTGTACGCACTGATCACCCAATCCACTGTACCCACTGATCATCCAGTCCACTGTACCGACTGATCACCCAGTCCACTGTACCCACTGATCATCCAGTCCACTGTACCCACTGATCACCCAGTCCACTGTACCGACTGATCACCCAGTCCACTGTACCCACTGATCACCCAGTCCACTGTACACACTGATCACCCAGTCCACTGTACCGACTGATCAACGAGTCCACTGTACCCACTGATCACCCAGTCCACTGTACCCACTGATCACCCAGTCCACTGTACCCACTGATCATCCAGTCCACTGTACCGACTGATCATCCAGTCCACTGTAGCCACTGATCACCCAGTGCATTGTACCGACTGATCACCCAGTCCACTGTACCGACTGATCATCCAGTCCACTGTACCCACTGATCACCCAGTGCACTGTACCCACTCATCACCCAGTCCACTGTACCGACTGATCACCCAGTCCACTGTTCCGACTGATCAACAAGTCCACTGTACCAACTGATCACCCAGTCCACTGTACCCACTGATCAACCAGTCCACTGTACCCACTGATCAACCAGTCCACTGTACCCACTGATCACCCAGTCCACTGTACCCACTGATCATCCAGTCCACTGTACGCACTGATCACCCAGTCCACTGTACCCACTGATCATCCAGTCCACTGTACCGACTGATCAACCAGTCCACTGTACCGACTGATCACCCAGTCCACTGTACCGACTGATCACCCAGTCCACTGTACCGACTGATCAACCAGTCCACTGTACCCACTGATCATCCAGTCCACTGTACCGACTGATCATCCAGTCCACTGTACCCACTGATCATCCAGTCCAGTGTACCCACTGATCACCCAGTCCACTGTATCCACTGATCACCCAGTCCACTGTACCGACTGATCATCCAGTTCACTGTAGCCACTGATCACCCAGTGCACTGTACCGACTGATCACCCATTCCACTGTACCCACTGATCATCCAGTCCACTGTAGCCACTGATCACCCAGTGCACTGTCCCGACTGATCAACCAGTCAACTGTACCGCATGATCAACCAGTCCACTGTACCCATTGATCACCCAGTGCACTGTACCCACTGATCACCCAGTCCACTGTACCGACTGATCACTCAGTCCACTGTACACACTGATCATCCAGTCCACTGTAGCCACTGATCATCCAGTCCATTGTACCCACTGATCACCCAGTCCACGGTACCCACTGATCACCCAGTCCACTGTACCCACTGATCATCCAGTCCACTGTACCCACTGATCACCCAGTGCACTGTACCCACTGATCACCCAGTCCACTGTACCGACTGATCATCCAGTCCACTGTACCCACTGATCACCCAGTGCACTGTACCCACTGATCACCCAGCCCACTGTACCGACTGATCAACCAGTCCACTGTACCCACTGATCACCCAGTCCACTGTACCCACTGATCACCCAGTCCACTATACCCACTGATCACCCAGTCCACTGTACCCACTCATCACTCAGTCCACTGTACCGACTGATCATCCAGTCCACTGTACCGACTGATCATCCAGTCCACTGTACCCACTGATCACCCAGTCCAATGTACCCACTGATCATCCAGTCCACTGTATGCACTGATCACCCAGTCCACTGTACCGACTGATCAACCAGTCCACTGTACGCACTGATCACCCAGTCCACTGTACCGACTGATCACCCAGTCCACTGTACCCACTGATCAACCAGTCCACTGTACCCACTGATCACCCAGTCCACTGTACCCACTGATCATCCAGTCCACTGTACGCACTGATCACCCAGTCCACTGTACCCACTGATCATCCAGTCCACTGTACCGACTGATCAACCAGTCCACTGTACCGACTGATCACCCAGTCCACTGTACCGACTGATCACCCAGTCCACTGTACCGACTGATCAACCAGTCCACTGTACACACTGATCATCCAGTCCACTGTACCGACTGATCATCCAGTCCACTGTACCCACTGATCATCCAGTCCAGTGTACCCACTGATCACCCAGTCCACTGTATCCACTGATCACCCAGTCCACTGTACCCACTGATCATCCAGTCCACTGTACCCACTGATCACCCAGTGCACTGTACCCACTGATCACCCAGCCCACTGTACCGACTGATCAACCAGTCCACTGTACCCACTGATCACCCAGTCCACTGT